GCCCAGCCCGTAGGACCAATAGACAAGATAACGTCATGACAATAAGTAGAATAATCGAGAGTAATTCGTCGATATCAGTAACAGTAATATATTATATTGAGTTGAACAGACTAAAGAAAGGTACGTAAATAACAATGTTGACTATTCGGCGTCAGTAATGTCTGTGGAAGATGGATCGCAATATGGTTTCAAATCCTGAACACGCCATACGCCTTTAGGATTATTCTGCTGGTCTTTAAGTTCATACGACCAAGAGCCACACTTCCGTCTTATAGTGAAGGGTCCGAGGTATATTGGTGCTAACTTGGCGCTAAAATAATTAGAAGAGTCAGAAAGGACTTTTTTTACTATTACTATAGCAAGGTTCGACATTTTTCGTATTTCTCTTAATTTAATTAAAAGCGAGGGATTTTGTTATTAAAAAAACGGTCAAAGAAATTTGAGTGCAAAATATTAGTATTTAAGTCGACGGAAAGCATTTTAAAATCAAGGATCGATGCGAGGCTAGAAAACGTACCTGTACGCGAGACACGTGCTGTCGCATTTATATAGACTGGGACCGACGTTTGTATACTTTATTTATTTGTGCTAGCACAATGCTCCAAGGTTATTAGAAAGCTGATTCGCGAAATTTACCCCATGCGAATGTGGAAATGGTGTACGAGTTTTTGGCAAATAATGCCAATTTAAATGAACCTCAGAGCAGCGGTGTTAAAGTAGTTCGGTAAGTACCTATATGAAGCTAATTTTTTTTGTTTAGCTCCAATGGGTAGTATTTTTTGTATTTCTCCGCAAAAATTGCTTTGCTTTAGTCTATTGAAAGCTAATAATATTAAGACATAACAATGCCTGCCCGTGACAATAATTTTGAAGGCTATTTATCTCTGCTTTTTTCTTCCTAGGTAAAATATGGAATTTAAATTATCATACATACCTTGTCACGCCTATTAAGAGCCCCGAAATTGGTTCTTTTGGCATGCATAATGAGGCTTTATTACACTATTCTGAAGTAAAGTATGGTACCTAATATGTTTTCAATGAAAGAAATTCCAGGGAAGTAGAGAGAATCTTATTTTTTAGGGTCTATTGGTGAATACTTGAATTAGAGGGGGAGGGGCAGTCACATTATAGAATTTTATAGCTACTAAAATAACAAAGTTTAGGGCTGCATTCGGGGGATGGGCAATGAAGCCAGGTTCTAAGCATTGACTAATATTGCGCTTAGAATGACTACGATCTCGGCAGTAAGCTGGTCAGCTTCGCTGTCACTACTTTCAGTACTGCTTCCACTGGCTTCATACAAATCAGATTCGGATGTTTCTGTTATTGCGGGATTTGCCCGTTCACTTTCCACTTGCAAACGTTTTTTTGGCCGCTCTGAAATCTGTTTAGCAAGCGCAGGAATTCTTATTGGCGATACAGCAACATCCATTACTTTCCGTTTTTGCGAGATTTGAACTGACTTGCTTCTAAAATGTACTTGTTTGGTTTGGCATGCCTTGTCACATACCTGTGACTGAACTTATACTGTTAAAGGTTCAGGCAGTTCATCATGGTCCTCCTCAATAACTTCCACGCCTTCAGGCTCAGACCTTCCGCTTGAGGGTCCCGCCCGGCGTGCCGCCGCAGGCTGCAAATATTTGGCAATGCCTTTCTGCCTTGCCCTTTTGTCGCTAAACACTCGTTTCGTAGAGCTTAATTGTCTACCCAGTTGACATGCAAATTTATGAGGTGCAATATTAGGATTCATCCGGGTTCGAACGGTACTCATCTTGTATTGTAGATAGTTTTCCATATCTTTTTCCAGGTCAAAGTGATCTTCGCAGCAGTACATGATCGACGTGGAAGAAACTGATTTCACATCCCGGCGAGCTGCGGCAAACCACTTTTTACGTTTTGGAGCACTCACAAAAACAATTGTGGTGTTATACTTGACGTACTTGTACATTTTGGCACAAAACACCACTTTCTGTTCGACATTTAACACCGTCAACGTTCACAGAATTTAACAATAATCTATCGTACCAGCTCTAACTACTTCAAACCGATTACTGGGGCGTTGTTGTGAGAATGGTAAATGCAGCGAGCCAGCTAGCGAGGTGTGTCTGGCTACTGACGTCACGCGTTCTAGTCTCGCGCACAGGTACGTTTTCCAGCCTCGCGCCGGTCCTTGATTTTGAAATGCTTTTAGTCGAGGTAAATATCAATATTTTTTGCTCAATTTTTTTCTATCGTTTTTTAATAACAAAATCTCTCGATTTGAGTAAAAATCAAAAAATTACGAACCTTCCTATTCCGCGTTCTCGTAGATTTTATTTTGGCCTGAACTTGTTGGTACAATTTCAAAAAACCCTCCTGATGGTTGCTAATATAAGGATTCACATCAACTTTTTATGATGGTAACTTGACTAGATGATCACTTATAATATATATTTGTGTTCTCTGCAAAACAAAATAAAATATGGACTATATTTGGTGGTTTCACTAGGCGCGGTTCTGATAGCACAACCAATCTCATTAAGATGTTCATCCCAGGTCCTATGATTTTTCTGGCGGACGTAAGTACGAAATAACATACTATACTATACTATACTTAATTACTCGAATATGACGTTCAATGGGATTATAGAACGAGGAGTGTAATTGGCAGTATAAAATATACGGATACTATTCTTTTTACACAACGCTCCATAAAGAAGAAAGAAACTCTCAACAATTTCGGGCACTATGTGATATTTTCCTTTGCGATGGATTGGGGGATCCTTTAATCCATGAAGCTATTACAACGAAGCATGGTCTGCAATTACCTGAAAATGTACACAGTCTAAATGTGTCAGCTTTTCGACCGACCAAATAACGGAGAGGCACTCCTTTTCCGTAACTGACAGTTTCAGTTTCTGTTTTTGGTTAAAGACCTAGAAAGGTAACATATCACCTTTTCACGTCCCTCGAATTGTTGAGTTGAAACTGCTCCTAAGCCATAATTCGACGCATCGGTTTGTAAGTAAAATGTTCTACTGAAATCAGGGGCAGGCAAAATAGGGGCGGTCACGAGACGATCTTTCAGTTCAGTAAAAGCTTTCTGACACTCTGGAGTTCTACTTGACGTTTTTCTTAGTTAGATGGAGTATAGGGGCAAGTAGTGAGGAGAAATATGGTACAAATCGTCTGTACCATGAAGCAGTGCCCACTAGTCTACGAACTTCAGTAACATTCTGAGGAGGTAGGATATTCAAGATAGAATGCACTTTTTCGGGAACTGGTCGAAGACCCTGACCGTCAATTAAGTAACCTAGGTACCGCAGTTCTGGCTTACAGAAGTGACACTTCAGCTATACAACAAGTCCAGCCTCGCGGAGGCGATCGAACACTAGATCGAAAAGCTGTAAATGTTCAGAAAAAGAAGCGGACAAAATAATGATGTCATCTAAATATACCATCACATTAGGCTCCATTTCAGGACCAAAAATACGTTGCGGGTTGGTTAAACCAAATGGCATCCTGCTAAACTGAAAAAGACCTCTACCTGGTACAGTGATTGCCGTATATTCGCGTGAAGTTGTGCTTAAAGGTACTTGCCAAAATGCAGATTTAATATCTATGGAACTAATGAATCGAGCGTTTCGTAATCTATTCAAGATAGTTGAAATATACGGAATAGGCCACGCATCTTTCTTAGGCCCGTATCGTCAGTCGTTCCTACAATTGTAGGGCGCCTTTATGGCCTCCTTGATTGTCATAGTTTTCTACTTCTCCGTGTCAGAACTCTATTTGAGGTTATGTCACAAACATCTACTTGCATCAAATTGTGCTTGCTTTTGGGTTATATCATGTTTTATCAGCCTGAAATTTCCTACAATTTAAAAAGAAAACATATCTTCACAATAGGAGAGCGATGACGCTGACACGTAATCTAGAAATTTTTGAAGGAGAGAAAGGAGTATGACAATCAAGGCTATAAAGGCGCCCTGCAATTGTAGGGACAACTGACGATACGGGCCTTAGTGGCAATATGAAACTAGCCCACTTTTTTTTTTTTTTCATGGATGATGTGATTTTTTTCCCTTAATTTGGTGTTGTTCTATTAAAAGCTTAATAACTCAAAATCTAGTGATTTTATCTGAATCAAACCTTATACCAAAACAAAAGCTTATAAAAAATTGTTATCAAAAACTTGCACAGGGTGATACATTTGAAATTTTTTTAAAAAAGTAGAATCCGCGTTTTTGACCACCCTGTATGACCAAAAATGAAAACTCGAAAAAGTAATAAATACGATAAAAGCTGAGGTGTGTTAGTTTTTTTCTGATACAAAATTCAGCACTCCAGATTTCAAAATGGCGGTTTGAGAGGTTGCCGAAGCGGACGGTTTTTCTCGACTAAACACCTTACATCTCAGTAGCTAATTACCAAAACTCCATAGTATAATATATCAATCTTCTTCTTTTGAATTGGTTTATCCAAATATGTAATAAAATTTGAGACATTCCATTTAAAAAATCACAACTTTAATATGTAGGTCAAAATTGGGTCACCCTGTATAATTGCCAATATTTTAGAAATGTGCCCTCAAATGTCATGAATAACATGCGATAAATAGATTTTCCCAAAATGTATTTATGAGTAATATTCCGTCCACACATGAATGGGCCACCCTGTATATATATATATATATATATATATATATATCAATGAATCAATGTAGCTTTAAGATACCAATACTATTCATTTTGAAAAACTAGTGGAGGTTTTAGAACTAAACTGATACGAATCTAAATCTTCAGAAAAGAATTGTACATGTTTGATACCGTCTGGTGTACCAAATTTCATTTCAATCCATTTTCGAGGAATGTGATGTGAACTAGCAAAACAAGTTTAAAATCATGGGAACGACGCATCACCGGAACGTTTTTTAAATTTTAACGTCAAAAACATTTTTTGTACTCGCTCGTTTTCCCACTGGTGCCCACAGAGTTGAACAAAAATACAACAGTGTGTTAAATTCATTTTATTTAAATTAAAAATCGTATTGTAGTGCGTATACCACACTCAAACACAAAAGGAGAACTAAATAAAATACATACACTTATACTACGTTTTTGGTCGAGACTTGGAGACTAATAAAAAAAAATTTCGCATTCCATCTCAATAAACTAAACTTAAAAAAAATAGTGTCACACGTATAAAAGTTCCTTGAGGATTAAGGGCCCTTTGAGGGAAAATCTCTTCTTGAATTTTGAACAAACAATAATGCTCACTTGAGGAACGTTCAAGGGAGGATTTAACATTTGCATTTCACAATAGGATGTAACAGTTGTCATCAATGGAATGACAAATATGTTGCCACTGCAACCCCAAAATATAAAACAAATTTCATTAGAATGAACATTTTCAAAATAAAAGATTGGCGAAGATTTAAAAAAATTTAAAACCTGTCATGACAACTGTCACAACCTACCTTGAATGTACCTCGAGGAAGCGTTATTGTTTGTTTAACCCTGTAAGACACCTTGTAGCCATATGTCTACAACGATCTTTTAGGTATCTTCTAACGTTTTCTATCCCTTGTACACTCTATTGCTCGATGTAGACATGTGGAAACAGCCTCAAGTTAGGCGCAGTTACCATCCGCCATCTATTAGCGAAATCGAGAAATAATTTTTTAATATGTCAACCGGCAGCTGTTCAGTTCGTTTCGCCGGCGTCGTTGCACTGGCGTGTTTGAGAGATAATTAGGTAGGTAAATTTTCATAAAATACATTAGTATGATATAATATTGGTTGTACATGTCCAAAACACATAATACATGGTAAGATTATCCAAAGTAGCATAGGAGAGTATAGAAAATGAAGTTTGAAAACGATTGTAGCCATATGTCAACATTGAACCTTCATGGTTGAGCCAATGTAAGATACTGTTTTATCCATTTTTGTTTCGTTGCAGCTTGAAAAATGGATCCTTTCGAAAATCTAAAAACCATTTCGGCGAGGTGTTTTTACAAAAAGAAGACAGACTTTATACCTGTATTGCCGGCTAATCTAGAAATATCCGATATTTCAGATAAAAGTGATTCCGATAATGAAAATTTGGAAGATGATGTGTTACGCCTCGGAAGTAATGATGCAGATGATGTAAATCCGTTGCCTTGCTCAAGTAGGTCTACAGTTGAAGTTATTCAGAATAACAGTAGCTCCTCGGATGAGTCAGATGACGAAGAAATAAAACCAATAGCTTCTAAAAGAAGGAAGAAGAGCAATCGAAGGATCCAAAAGGCTGATGTCGTATATAATTGGGTAGAGGAAGATTTACCTAATTTTGAAAAACCTACGTCAGATGTAAACTTTGGAGATGATAATTATCATTATCCATTACAGTACTTTTTAGAGTTTTTCTCATATGAATGCATTGAACTGATAGTGAAGGAATCAAATTTGTATTGTACTCAAATGACTGGGAAAAGTCTAGATACAGATAACAAAGAAGTTACTAATTTTATTGCTATCCTTATCTACATGGGCGTCATTTCTCTTCCTAGTTACAAAGATTATTGGTCGGCTACTCTAAGAATTGAATCTATAGCGAATGTTATGTCACTAAGGAGATTCAAACAATTACGCAGATATATACACTTCAATGATAATTCTTTAGTTGGCAGTTCTCAAGATAGGTTTTATAAAATTAGACCGCTCTTGGACATAGTCAACAGAAACTGATCTAAGTTTGAGATAGAAAATCGTTTCTCCATTGATGAGACAATGGTACCGTACAAAGGTACACGGGCAGGTAACCTTCGTCAATATATGAAAAACAAACCACACAAATGGGGTTACAAATTCTTCATGAGAGCTGGAGTATCGGGATTGATTTACTCTTTTATTCCATATCAAGGGAAAAATACTTTTTCTTTATTAGATGGCACTGCCATGCAGTTAGCAGAAAATGAACTGGCTATGGGAGTTGGTAGTAGCGTAGTTATTGCTCTCACTAAAACCATCCAAAACCCAGCTCACAGTATTGTGTACTTTGACAATTATTTTTCGAGTGTGAACTTATTTTTATATCTAAAGCACAGATTCAACATTTATAGCTTAGGAACTCTTCGGAACAATAGACTAAATGGCTGCCAGCTGATATCTGATAAGGAATTGCTAAAAAAAGGCAGAGGAAAGTATGACTACAAGTCCACAAACAGGGAATGCATAATTGTCAAATGGGCTGACAATAAATGTGTTTTGATTGGAAGTACAATTCATGGTGTATCCCCTGAAAATACGCTTCGTCGATATTGCAAAGAAAAAAAAGGTAAAACGAATATACCTTGTCCATCCATTATTATGGAGTACAACAGGCATATGGGAGGTGTTGATAAGTCAAATTCGCTGGTCGGGCTTTACAGAACTCCTGGTCGTGCTAAGCGGTGGTACTTCCCGATTTTCGCCTATATCATCGACATGTGTATAGTCAACGCATGGTTACTATACAAAGAGAACAATAAAAATGAAAAGAAGTGTATGCCCCTAAAAGAATTTAGATGTGATATTGCAAAGGGCTTGTCCACCACTGGGAAACCGAAACCTGGAAGGCCGGTATCATCACCTAAGTCCAATTCAATAATAATACACCCAGTCGTTCCAAGACCTTCAGATGTTACCAGAAAGGATACTGTTGGTCATTGGCCAGTTCATACGACAAAGGGAAGATGCCGAATGTGCACTACGGGATTTTCTCGAATAATGTGCCGAAAATGTATGTGTCGGCTATGCCTAAATGATAAAAATAATTGTTTTGTTCATTTTCATCTGTGAGATAGATTCCTTTATGTTATAATTTTCACATTTGTCTCACCTTGTATATTTTTTATACGGAATATATTGTTTTTCGTTTTTGATGGAAATACTTTGATTTTTTTTGTAATAAAATATTATTGCAATTTTTAATGTGTTTTGTTACAATTATATTTTTAATCCGCTTATAGACCGTAACGGTCAATGTTGACATTTGGCAACAATTGCAAAGTACACTTTCTAATAACAATGACTTCAATTTATGGATCTAAACTTGTTCCTACAGTGATTTTTTATAGCCAGTGAAAATTTACGAATTTTAACTTAAAAAATAATAGGAGTGAACCTTACAGGGTTAAAAGCGAAGGAGAGATCATTCCTCGAACAACACTCAATCTCCAAGGAACATCCATAAATGTGACCCTAAGTGTCTCATGACTCGATATTATATCTCAACTCAACTCTATCAGTATAGAAAAGTAACAATCATCAACTGTGTAAGTACCACAGCAACATTTCCGATGATACTTGAGGAAAATTCCCACCAATTTGAAATATCAGCTCCCGATTCCTATATCAAGATTAATTTGACCAAACCACACAAAAAAATATTCACAAACGTAGAGACCCGAATCGTTAGGCATAATATTCAACCAGTCTAAAATAATCGTGGAGCTAGTGCAAAATGAAGTGACGTGAATTCAAGCCATTTGGAACGATCGTGATTGTGGGCCTTTACATAAATTTGCCAAAAGTTAAGTGGTGCAAAATAACAAATGAAATTTAATCTTATAATATTGAGTTATACAGGGGTGGACTGGAACCATAGAAGCATGATATCAAGCGATATTTATGTATTCAAAACGATATAAAATTATTTTTTTAATGAATGTGTGAGTGAAACCACAGGTTTGGTAGAGCAAACAAGTAAGTTGGTTCACTACAATAAGAAAATTGTCGTAATTAATTTATTAAACACGGCTTCTAACTTGTAATAGATCCGAAACAAGAATAGATAGATAGAATGTCATAAACTCCATTCAAGCATAAATTGAGATGACATTTTGACAGACACAATTGACAACCCCCAACATAAAATGTCCCATTATCTCAAGTGTGAAACAATTTTCAAAGAATTAAGTAATCATCATACCAAAAAACAATTATGAGGTGTATATTATTGGGATGCTACAAAATGAACAGTTCTTTTGAAAATTGAGCAATGGAGTTATTCCAGGATTTGTCAATTATCCTTTAACGCACTTTAGCTGGATGAGAATCTTCCCCGAAGTGTCAATGCAAATATTTCCATAGTGTATAAAGTCTTTCAGTTTGATTTAAACCACTTGCGCACTGCCGCTGGTGTCCGTGGAAGTTTCTACTTCATCTCCTTGGTGTAGGCGTCCAGCTCTGCATCCAGTTCTTCTGCTGTGGGCACTTTCCTGGGTCCTGACCTTTGACCACCTCTACCTCCTCCACGACCTGCAACTCAAAATAATCGATTGTTTGAGGTATTTTTTAAAAGTCAAATTGCTGATTTCATGATTAATATTTCCTGTGGTCCATACCATCAGTATTTACTTGTAGATTCGTTAGTGTCAGTGAATTCCTATATAAATGTATACTTCAATAAGTGATGGCAAGGCAACATCATCAATAAATAGCACATTCCATGATAAATACTGATAAATCACAATATCATGACATTCAGCTTACAGAACAAGTTTAAAAACATGAGCTTCAGTCGTTTGAGAATGAGTATGTGATTCTGCCAAATACCAAAGCTGACTCAAAATTCCTGAATATTTAAAACAATAATGATAAATTAAGTAGATTGATATGGTACTTTCTGTGTGTTGAGCCGTTCAACATTTTAGCTACTAACTACAAGATCATTCTGTATTATAAGTGGAAGGTAAAATAAAAGATGTGGTTGATTAAACATAATTAAATGCTCAAAGAATGGTTGAAAACGATAAAAACTAAGCTTTCAGTATTTCAAAGTCTTTGACTCTTAATATATATGTTGTCCTTGTTGTAATAGGGATAGTGTAGCATTCTTGTATTAAAATTTCATAAAAACAGGAGTACTTTTGTGGTTTTTTGGGCATAGTATAAACACTTTTGTATAGCACATTATTTAAAAAATGTTTTTTAGATATATATCTCAACTTTCTGATAACTTAGGGCATAGTCAAAAAATGTTTAGGGGTTCAAAAATTTTGAAATTAGCAAATTCTCCAATGATTTAAAGAATGTTCTTGTACCTTCTATATCTGGAAGACCATTCTCTATAACCTTCTAGATCATTTGCGAACAAATATGAGCTCTGGAAAAACATAGTTTTTAACTTTTGTAATGTTTCTAAAGATCCTTATAATTTTGCAAAACATCTAAATTCAAAAATTTCTGGACTTTCTGCAAAAAAAAACTTCTTAAAGTCTCACCTCTAACAGGTCTGCTTCTACTTGTGCCACCTCCTCTGGGGCTCCTGGGTGGGAATCTTGACCTCTCTGAAGGCACCCGCCTCCTAGGGCTGGGGATCTCTGATGTAGTCAACTGAATATTCATCGCTCTTCCATCCAAAGGCACTCCATTATACTGCTTCATTGCCTTGATAGCATCACTCCTCCTCTCGAAAATTACGTCTGCTGTTCCTAATGACCTTGCAGATCTGTCATAGTGTACTGCAGCACTCTTCAGGGGTCCAAATTCAGCAAATAATTCTTGAATGTCAGAGTCCGATACTCCAAAGTCCAGGTTGGATACCAGCAGTTTGGTGGGTCCCATAGAGGCTGTTACTGAGGCTCTTGCTGCAGCCACTTTGCGTTGGCCATAACCTTCGAAAAGATCATGTTTCCAGGCACTGTTTACGTCTCCCTGTAGAAAGATGATGTTTGATGTAAGGGCCATAGTCTTGCTGCCAGTTGTGGTTATGCAAGCTTTAAGCCTTCTCACTTGCAAGGGTTCCTTGTTAAGGATTATAGCAGCTGCTAGTTATCAGCAAAAAATACTCACTACACTACTGCAGGGTTTCCACAATGAAAGTTAATTACAGACATTTGTTTTAAGTAGCTGGCAACTCAAAATAACCATTTTAATGAAATATTATGGCCCCTCAGCTTCCACTGAAGGGTCCATCCTTTTAAAGGATAAGTAATGCAGAAGGGTCAATTTTCTTAGAGCTTTGCTTAGTCCATACATACATATGTATACATGAGTAGAGAAAATACTGTTACAGAAAGTTGGCTATTTGGTTGTTAAGGTCATTTGAAATAGGTTTGTTAAGAGTGGGCTGGGGTTGCTATTATTTTCAGAAAAATTCAGCATTGCTAAACCTTGCTCAAATATTATTTACGCTGCCTAAAAATAATACCATATCTAAATAATCAAAATATTTTATTACTATCGGCAAGTAGCTGGGTATGCAACAATGTCAATATAAACGGAAGAGGTATGTGACTGAGCAGTCATACAATGCAATGCAAAAATGCCATTTGTCTGTAGTATATCTTCAAGTACTAGCAACACTATGACTTATAGACTACAAAAATGGAAAAAAGAAATTGTTGCTGCCGGAACTGAACTCTGCACCTTCAGTATACAAGGTAGATATTCTACCACTGCTTCAAAATAACTGACAGTAACTAACTACAGCATGTAAAGAAAAACTATTCAATGCCTTAAATGAAGTATACTTTTAACTCCTCATGCTATTATTATTGCGGTTAAAAAGTCAAAATTTGTTGCTATATTTTTTTTTCTAGAAAGTAGACATTTTTGCTATACGGTGCAATTATTCAACAACAAATGGAAAATAAAAATCTACACAAGTATTTCACTAAGATGCTTTTGAAAAGATTTATGGCCTAAGATAGCACTTAACCAAAAGAAATGTTGCACACTTAAAAATGTTTCCACCAAATAAACTTTTTGAGTTATTTCAATTTATTAGGCTTGGTAAATGGCTCAAAACAGTATTTTATCAATCAGATGGCTCAAAAATCCAGCATAAAAACATTTATGCATAGCCTAATAGACATCTAAAAGAACTGGAGTAATCTCATAAACAAACATAGAAATGAAAATATTGTCGAGTCAACTTTTGAAGCTACGAAATTGTCTTAACAACTCATTTCTATGTATAATATTTACAAGACCACAACAAAAATCAGAAATCAAAAAGTTTTTGAAAAAAAAAACATCAGTTCCTGCCTAAGGTATGATCTGGAACTTTCCATCACACTAAAGAATAATACTTCAACAACCTAAATCTGAATTTTCAGCCATAATAAAATTTTTGTTGGGTTAAGTGTTCATTTATAGGGCTAGAATTCTGGAAAGAAGGTAACTCCCAGTTGCAGTATTATGTACTTAGTTCTAAAAATGTACTTGTTTATATTGATGAAAGTATATATATTGAAGTAAACAAAGTCAAATGTATAAGTGACAAAATTTAACACAATATAACATTAATAATCAAAAATAAAGTTTCTAAATATGTACACATTTCAAATATAAAAATATGGCAATGATATGAATACAATCCCAGCATTTCCCTGACTTTTTATGACCAGTTTTTCCAATTTCCTTATTTATTTTCTTTTTTGAAATATATTTGATATAAATATGCATTATGGTAACATTTTGGTAAAGAAAGAATGAATCTGTCTACAAGAGAATTAATGCAAGCCAAAAAGAGATTTTATACAAAACTGATAAATCCTCAGCAATAAAATATCTATTTCTAAGCAAATGATAGTTGTCCCAGAATTTTTATTAAACAGATATTATAAGCATTAGCCAAATTTGCTTCCCTGAATTTTCTCAGCAGAAAATGAACAACCTGAAAATTACCTTTTAGTATATTAATACTGATACAGTACATAAAGATACAAAGATTCTTATCACTCAACACTTCACTATTGTCAATCTTTTCACTAAAAGCAGCATCACTAAATTGGATGTGTTTCCTTCTTCATTGTTTTGCCAAGTTAGATGAATCGTCAGCTAGCTCTTGGTTATCTCAAATCCCTTGATAATCCCATTGTTGAACTTTAAAGCTTCATGATTCAATTTTCTCCCATCCAAATAATTATTCATCCTCAAATTAACCAAGGTATTCCTGATACTTGCTGAGCTATAAAGCCATAGCCTGTGTACTGGTGCATAGCATCTAATATATGAAAAGGCAATAGAAAGCTTTCACCTGAAAGCAACCATTTAAAAATTGAGGTGGCAACTGGTTTCCTCCTTAAATTCATTGACAATTTAATTCCACAGTAAACCTGAACTGGGATGCAAAAAAGTATACACTACAAATGCATAAGATGCTTAAAATGGCATCGCTACATTAAACTGTTTTTCATCATGAGCCAGCTTGCAAAATACTTGGATGGTGAGTAGCACTTCAGCTCTTGTGATGTACCTTTGTATCAAATATTTTCCATGGTTACTTGATTGTGCTATTGACTATTCCATGACATCCACAAAGCACCTTTTGTCAGTTGGTATTTCTCTTGAAAATTGGTTTTAAAAAGCACGATTTTATGTTCCTTTTAACTTCTTGAGTAGTTAATGGTTTTCTTCTATCCCTAATTACATAATATAGTCTTCAGTAGGTTAGCCAATGTTCATCACAAACAAATACAACTTCATCAACAATACTTGGGTAACTTGCTGTCCACAGGAATTGCATAGTCAGCACATATTTTACAGAGAAATGTGCATTCATCTGGACAATTTTACATTGACCATAAAATTGAACTCCAAACAATTTATATTTTTCACGCATTGCTATTCACAATGAACCAACAGTTTGGGACAAAGTGGCTTCTTGCAAAATTTCTGGTGCAACGGTTGATTTGATACTATTTAGAACACTGACGACACCTTTTATGACAATTATATACAAAACTGCAGATATTCTCAAGTTTGCCTCCTGTCATAAGAAAGCCACTTTCACTCCATTTGTGTGGGAGATACTGCACATGCCAAGAATACCATTCCAAACATCATGTAGCCTCTCGGTATTGCTGAAACCTTTGTCCCCCTTGCATGTGAGGGCCGTGAACTTCAAGACGTTGCTCCACGCAACGAAATCAATGTAAAAGTGTTATTAAATTACCCTGGTATAGTTTCTGGAGATGCCGCCTCTGTTTCGGCCCCTTTGGACGCCTCCTGTAGCCGGGGACCGTCCGGAAGGCCTAAAGTTGCCCCCACCGGTTCTGCGGTTGCCGCCTGAACCACCGCGTCGGTTGCCGCCACCTCCTCGTCGATTGCCGCCTCCACCGCGGCCTCTACCCCCTTTATTTGTCTTGATTATGTCGTCCAGGCTCATTTCGATCTTGTCCACCATTTTGCGTTAAGATTTGACTGTAACTGCGATGAAAATACGTGTTAAATAAGGAAAATTGAAGTCGGCTTTCACGTTGCTGATGCCACTTAAAAACAAAATGGCGTATAGCACGGAGCCCACGGAGCGCAAGTAAGGTAAGCAGAGAACAAAAGGCACAGATGCACAGCGAACAGCGACAGCAGATAAATTCCGATTACTGAATGTGTACTCGCAGTGAGTGACGTATCTCAACAGTGTTGCCAGTTCAACTTTTACTCTCGAAGATAAAATGTTCCCACTTCAAACGGAAATTGTAGGGTTATTTTTATAGAATGCGAAGCTGCAAAAACTAGTTTTTCGCGTACCTCAAAATGCCAGAGAAGCATCTTGCATTTGTAGTTTGACTGTAATTTATATACTTTTGCTAGTAGTCTAGCCTCGTGTCCACTTGCAAGTAACTTGTGATAGTTTTTGCAGCAAGTACTTGCTTGTTTGTCTACACTATTTTTTAATTGTTCGCAAATTTAATCTAGGAAATTGCTCTTGCAATTTCACCTGGGCTTGATTGTTCTGATTCCGGGTACACTATAGATGTTTACAAAATGTCATCGTATGCAAAATCTGTAGCTGCTGCGATAGTAGTGATATATTTAATTAATAAAAAGGAATAAAAGAGAAAGTGGATTTTAATTATAAAGGCACACATATAGTATAGTTTTAATTTCGTTGGCTGATGCAACGTTCAAATTAACTTATGTAAATATTGGTTGCAATTGCAGAATATCAGACGGTGGCGTTTACAACAATTGTTCTCTGTCCCCACATCTTTGGAAAATAATACCATAAATTTGCCCCCTCCAAGGCAGCTTCCAGGAAGAGAAAATAGGTCGCCTTTTGTTGTTGCAGCTGACGACGCATTTGCAATGAAACCATATTTGCTTGAGCCATATCCATTTAGAAATCAACCAGGACCAAATCGCGTATTTAACTACAGACTGACCCGTGAAAGAAGGATCATTGAAAATGTTTTTGGTATTATGGCAAATCGTTTTCGTGTATTAAGAAAACCTATACAGCTTATACCCACAAAAGTTACAAAGATTGTATTGGCGATATGTGTTCTTCACAATTTTTGGATGTCGCGAAAGCAATCAACAACTCATTATGCACCAGCAGGAATGTTTGATGTAGAAAATGATAATGGAAGTGTTCTAAATGGCCAGTGGCGGGAAGAAGGACTACCATTAAATAATTCATTGCCACTCAATAATAAAAACGGTCACAATTGCTCGGAAAATGCCAAAACGGTTCGTGAAGAGTTTAAGAATTATTTTATTTCACCTGAAGGTGAAGTGCCATGGCAATACAAATACATATAATAAAAAAATTGCATACCTTAGTTATAATAAAAAATATGTGTCTTAATATTTAAGTGTTTTTGTGTTTGAATTGCAATAATAAACATGCTAATAAAATTTAAATTTAACTCACCAGATTATCTTCCGTAGTATTCTGTATATTTGCGTCAATTATAAACTTTAATGAGTCAAAGAACTCCCAAGTACTCTTATATATTTCATTAGTCCCGTGTCCACGTTTCTTTTTTTGAATTTTTCTCCACTCTTGGTTAACTTGCGTTCTCAAATTATGTAGCTTCTTTTGAATTTCCGCTGTAGACGTATTAAATAAATTGGCCAATTTTTGTGATGCATTTTGCTTTTTAATTCTGTCCTTAAATTCTTTAGTATGTACATTCCATAATTCAGGATATAATTCAAAATTTTCAATTAATAGACACGTGTCTTCTCTCGTCCAGTTGAACTGTTCCATATTTTATTTACAACACTATTCCTCTTGCTGCAAAACTTTCGAAACAGTCTCGAAATTATTTTAAGCAAACTAATTTCCTGAGAGAAGCTGTGTACACTACAAGCTCTCAGCAAGTCGCAAGCCCCTTATGTGCAAGTAATTTTGCTGCAATATTTCTCTAAAGATGTCGTTCACATGCTACGCAAGTGACTTGTGAGATTAACTCTAGCAATTTTATTTGCTAGTGGACACGAAACTTAAAATAATATAACATAACTTCAGTATATGACTTTTTGTCTTTATCATAGTAGGAGAACTAAAGAGGCTAAATGGTGAGCGTCGTGGGGACGTATTGGGTGTTGAACATTAGATTGCAGAAAGAAAGACGCTTGAGAACGTCTTGATGCAACTGATTTTTTTCTTCTCGAAAACTATCCGAGATGGACAAAAAATTAGGTAAATTTGAAGATTTGCTAAGTTCAGATACGTCGGGAAAATCGCCAAAAATATGCTATAATTTATACAAGATTGGGGGTAGTTTCCACCCTTCTCAAACTCTTTAGAGTTTTTCCGTCCAAGTCAAATATTAGAACAGACGTTGTAATATTTGACTGCAAAACATATGTGTTCCAAATTTCATTCTAATCGGAATATCGGTTCTTAAAATATATATTTTTAAACGAAAAGCCCAAATAGTACATTACTACACTATAGTTCTGACAAAACCTATTTCAAGATGTCTGTGCACTAGATGCAAGATATCCCTCCTTATGTTAATCTGCTGCGCTCGAGTAAGTCCCAAAATGTTCTATTGGGCCCCTACCATCTTTCAAAAACCTTTCCGGGTAAATTTAATTTTTCCAAAACAGCATTTCTGCGACACTTTCATTAAGCTTGAGAAAAAAATAATAAGTACTTACAATTGTATCCTGAAATATTAACACTGGGTCTGCACTGCATCTGCTTTGTTCAATATCTGAAGCACAACTGATGAAATTAACCTGACCCTTTTTCTATTTATATTGCAAAAAGCTTAATGAAGTCCTAATAGCCCTTGGATTAAATTTTCCTTAGGGTGCATGGGTCATCAACTTACGATGTCAAAACTTCATACCTGCTAGGTACAATTATCTCCATAAACTGTGCTGGTATATTTGTAACAATAAATCCAAGAAGAGGATTATCCTCAGCTTTTATAATTAGCTGCTTATGGCAGTTACTTTCACGGAAATTTATTGTATTGCTGTTTAATGGCTATTTAGATACGAGATCGTTCAAAATTAACTTTATGGTTCAATTTATTTGTATACGTGTTATTTATGCATAAATTTTATTGAAATTGTTTTAAAGATATGCTACATTTTTCGCAACTTTCTGCTTCTTATAACCTATTCTTCCACAACTTTTCGTTAGATTTCGACCATTATGATTGCAATTTATTTATTAATACTATCCTCGTTTGAAAGAAATTTTTCTTAACGGGCTCAGTCAAATCTTCTCAAGGACGAACCCAGAGTCGGCGGCTATACCTTGAGGTGTGTGCAATAGCTTGTCTCGTTGATTCCAGGTTTTGATAGTTTCCACAAATTCTATCAAAAAATATTACGGCATTATTCGATTTTGGCCACCAGAAATGTAAACGACTTTACTGTAGACTCTCACATATAATATTTGATATTTGCCTCCGTTAGTGCTGTGGATCATCTTCTAGCAATACTGTCTTTGTTGCCGAAAATTGGGAATGAGATGGCTTATTAACACATGAAACGTATTAATACTCGTATAATACGTTTCAGTTCAAAAATATTCTGGACACAAAATTAACATTTCAAAAGTATTTCGCAGAACACTTAACGCTTAAGTACTCTAATTGCAAACAAAAATCTACTAAATTTCAAGTTACGAAAAAATTGTGCGAATCCTTGGTCATATCTACAGTATTACAGTATTACAGTACTATAGTATACTATCCATGTTTAGACAGCAATATCAAAAACCTAATTCAAATTATCCAATATAATTGTGGTTATTATATTTTTGGACTCCGAAAATTTGATCATATACTATATCATCAAAATATCAAATACCCAATTGGTTGAAAATAAATGTTCTGATTAAATATCACTAGTCAGTTATTATCCATTAATTATTACTTAGGTCTAAACCGCCTTACTTGCAAAAAAATCATTTAACAATGATATTCATCCTGGACAACTTAAAAATAAAATTATCAGGCTACCTCAGTATTCAACAAAGGGATGTCAATGCAGTTTCTCCTACAAAGTTGTCACCATATACAGGGTGTAAACGTTATGGTAGTCATTATTGAAGTGGGTAATAGGGGGGTCAAAACAAGTCAAAAAGTTCATATGACCCATGGTCCAAAAGTCAATAGATTTTTGTCTAAATGGCTTAATAGTTTAAAACTTTAAGTGTTTTATATCGACCACAATATTACTAATTTTTATAATCTAATCTAAAACGTTTTTAAATTGGGTAATTAACAAATAAATGGCATTAAGTTAAGCCAAAATTTGTAGTCAGTAAAAAAGTAAGTTTCATTAAGCTGAATATTTAAAACACACATGACAACAGCGCGTCGGTCATCATCACTCTTATTCATTGATTCCCAAAGTGGTCTATATCGACCCCTAGGGGTGTATGACAACCTGCAAGGGGTCTACGTCAGCGAAAAAAATTTGGGGGTCCATGAAATGAATATGGGGGTCCACGATAGTGGATCTCAACACATACACTGATAGTACCTATTTACTTACATCATACTATCTTATAATATCAAAACATATACATTATTTATAAAAGTACCTATGAAGTAAAAAATTTATTATATATGTTTATAAAATTGTGTAAGTTGTAGGATGTTGGTATTCGCTTTGTGGTCGAAATACATTTTGAACTTGAGTCGCAGTCTGAGAGCTTCGCTACCTTGCACTGACTTGTTCAATTCGTCACTCTATAAATACGAATGTAGGACAAATACGTTTATTCGTTTCCTGAATCTTAAAAAGGAAAGTGCTAAGAAAATATTTTAAAAAATATAAACAGATAGTATATCAAATTATTATAGTGAGTCAGTGTTATTTTGTTTGAGAGTGCTGGAGAAAAGTAAGTACATTATCTTTTATTAAATTTTAGTTTTGTACTCGTAGTTAGCAAAGATAGATAAATTACGCCAATCATGACTAGTTATTAGTAGTTAAATATTCAATCATGCAAAATTACACGAGTACTCCTCAATAGTTTCTTTTTGAAAGTTTTAGCAATCGGCAATATAATTACAGTGCAATCTCCGTAATTCGAGCTAATTGTTGCAAGAAGATGTTCGAATTATGGAATGTTTTCGGAAAAATCAAAAAATATTTTTAATATACAGCTGCTGGATTTTCTGTCTTATTTAAATAATTTAATTTTGCCCAAAGATGACTGATGCCATGTCCGTATCTAAAAAGGAATGTAGACAGTACAGTGTTGATTGTTTGAAATTTGGCTTTATTCCATCATTGCCGGACAAACAATCGCCTATGTGCCTTTTATGCAACAAAGTTTTGGGCAATGACACTATGAAACCATCTAAACTGCAAGATCATCTGAGAAGATGCCACCCTGATAAAACAGAGAAAGATTTGAAATACTTTCAAACACTCAAAGATAAATTTCAGAAGAGACCTACACTGGACAGAATGTTCGCTTCGACGTCACAAAGAAATGATGATGGTTTGCGGGCGTCTTACAATATCTCGTTACTTATAGCAAAATCCGGAAAACCGCATACTATCGGAGAGAAGTTAATTTTGCCAGCCGTTGAAGAGGTTTTAAAAACTGTTTTACACAAACCTACATCTGATATCATTAAAGGAATTCCCTTAAGCAACAATACTGTTGAAAGACGTATTGATGAAATGAGTTCTGATATTGAAAGCTTCTTATGTAATTATTTGCAAACGACCCATTACTCTATACAACTGGACGAGTCAACTTTACCTGATAATGCAGCATTATTATTGGCATATGTTCGTTTTATTATGAATCAAGAAATCTACGAAGAACTGCTCTTCGCAAGAACTTTGATAACCGACACTAAAGGTGAATCAATATTTCATGTTTTGAAGGATTACTTCATTGAAAAAGCAATTCCTTTATCAAATATAATATCAGTAGCTACAGATGGAGCACCTGCCATGGTTGGACGTTATCGTGGATTTATATAACTCGTTTTTCCCCCGAAGGGTAGAAAACGATTATTTCAGGTCTTGCCTAGGCTTGACCCTGGTGAGATTACGTCCCCATTCCCTACCCTAATGTATGCCCCTGTGCCCCTCCCTCTACTCCTATTCTACGTCGGCTAGCCCTTCTGCGCAGTCGCGTCCCAGCGTTTCCCTTCCGTTGTAACGCCACGAATGCCGCGATGCAGGAGGATCCTCAGTACCTCATAATAGTCGTCAAGGACTTATTGGGGTCAAGCCTAGGCAAGACCTGAAATAATCGTTTTCTACCCTTCGGGGGAAAAACGAGTTATATTTCAGGGTCTGTGCCGTCGGCTTGACCCTGGTGAGAAGTGTTTGGTATCTGACGACGTAGAAAAGCGTACTGTGATTCCATAAAAAGAAATATTATCAGGTACTTTGCATCTTAAGAAAGAAGTCTGCGCGTGTGTGTATGCATATGTAAAAGAACACAGCTCTAACACAACTCAAACATTTATTGAACAGCATAAGAATACAAAAAACAAATGAACTAAACCATTATTTAAAATAACAGGTACTCTGCTAAATAGGAACAAATGTTTCCTTACAAATACTATGAAGAGGTCTCTGACAAGACACACGTTTTACTTCCTTAAAGTAGTGCTTGAAAAAGGTCTCTTGACCCTTCCAGTTGCCGTTTTTTAGAATGGTGTCTAACGGAAGCTCACCTTCCCATCTTGACGATGCTACCGCAGCTTTGATACTGCCAGGCGAAGTGAAAATATTTGCCCCAACCAATGCTGTCTTTACCCATCCAGCTATGATAGCTCTTGAAGCAGGCCGTACCTGGGCCCGGCAAGTGATAAAGAGTGAATCCAGGGATTTTGCTGCCCTTCTATGCGCAGAAACAGATAAAAAACGTTTCGTCCAATAAACGGGGTCCAAGCTCGTATCGTCGTTTTGGAGCAGTTTCCACCCCGACTGCCTATAATTACTCTTATCTGTTTTGGATCCAAACTCCGGCCAAAACGTTACACACTTGCTTTCCATTAATAACCTATCAGGATTCATCCTTAATAGAGTCAAGTCATGCACTCTTCGTCCAGAGCCCAATAGCAGGATCAATGCTAACCGTCGAGAGACTTGGAATAAGCTAGCCTCGTCCACTTGATCGGCTTTCATCCAAGATATCAAATCGGACACATCCCACACGAACTTCTTTCCAGGGATAGGTTTACTGATGTCTATTGCCTTTAGTATGTGCTTGACTACAGGATGAGACGTGAGATGACTTCCTAACTGGGGATTGGCCAGCGACGATATCACGGACTTGTGTAACTTCACAGTGGCGGGAGACAGCTTTCTAACACGAAAAAGATACGCCAAATATTGTGCTACCCCTGAGGACTCTGGATTGGTAGGTGACATCTCCCTACTCTTAGCCCATCTCAGCCATTCAAGCCACGAAGAACGGTATGTCTTCCAAGTGGAACCACGCCAAGAAGTTTCTAACAGCTGAATATCTTCTTCACACCATCCTCGTACGAGTGCAGCCCACCCTGAACCAACCATGCCACCAAACGAAGATCTCGAGCCTGGCTCAATGGTTGCCCGGTCAACGCATCTGTCAAGTGGAGGTTCAGATCCGGTAGCTTGAAAGGCGGCTCTATCACCCGAGATATTAGATCCGGTTTCCAAAACACCTTGTCCCAATTGGGGGTGATCAGAATGTATCTTCCCTTCGCTGACTTCAGGTGATGGAGGACTCGGGGGATTAGTGCTGGAGGCGGAAATACATATGCCAGGGAATAAGTCCACCTCTTGCTGAAGGCGTTTACAAAAACCGCCTGTTTGTCCCGTACGTCCATCGACGCATAAGCTGGTACCACCTTCGACTGTTTTGAAGCAAAGAGGTCGATTTCCGGGGTTCCGAAACGGTGGAAAATCTGATTGGTCAACTCGATAGACATCGGGAGGGGCCTTGTTGCGAGACAGGCTGTCTGCTACGTCGTTGCATATGCCTGGGATAAAGTGAGCTGTCAGAGTGATATCCAGACGACTGCAAAGGGTCAGCAGCTTTACGGTAACATCCAGTAACATCTTTGACTTTGTACCGCCTTGCTTCCTTATGTATGCTATCACAGTTTTGTAGTCTGACTGTAGAAGAATCGACTTCCCAATCAGTCGACCACTCCGCTGTCGAATGGCAGCATACACAGCGAACATTTCCCTGACATTTATATGCCAATTCTTCTGATAGTGGGACCAGGATCCCTTCAAGGCTTCGTTTTCTAAGACTGCTCCCCAACCTATGTCCGATGCATCCGTTGTTAGGAAAATCGTTGCGTTTTGGTGGAAAATTGGCGACACCTTGTGAAGGTTTTGGATCCACCATTGACAAGCTGATAACACAGCTGGGGGAGCTCGAAGATATTTCCTCGGCGTTGATTCGGATAGGAGAAGGCACGCTCTCTGCATCCCCCGAACGTGAAGCCTGCCTAAGGGGATCGCGAAGCTGGCGAAGTTCAACCTTCCGATGAGACTTGTAGCTTGGCGCCAGTTCCATCGTTGATGAGTTTGAACCCAAGTCAAAGTCTTCTGAATACATTTTTGTTTCTTCTTTGGAAGGGATATTGTGTTTCCTACCGTGTCCCACCTTATGCCTAGATACTCCACTGTTGTACATGGTTCCAACATACATTTCTCTCTGTTTATAATCCATCCCAATGCCTCTAGAAAAAAACATTACTTCTGAAACCTGTTTTTTCAGGATGAGTGGGCACTGATGCGCCAACAGAAAATCGTCCAGATATACGATTACACGTATCCCTCTGACTCGCAACCTGCTCGCTAGCCAATTTGACACCTTGGCAAAGGTTGAAGGGGCGCTCGACAGACCAAAAGGCAGGCAGGTCATTTGATATAGCATTCCCTGATGCAACACTGAGAGGAATCTTCGATATCTTTCCTTTATTGGGATGTGGAAATATGCTTGCGCAATGTCGATTTTGACCATGAAGTCCCCTTTTTGTAGGAAGGCTGGGACTTTTAAATGGTTGATTAGGTGAAACTTGTTTGGATGCAGAAATTCGTTCAGAGCTTTTAAGTTGAAAATTGGTCGCTTGGTACCATCTGCTTTTGGAACTGTGAACATCTTTGAAGTGAAGCCCGTCGAGTAGTGGGATCTTTCCAGTACACCCCATTCTAGCATTTGCGCTACCTCTGATTCCATACGAGGTGTTGAAAAACTGTGTCTGGTTGAGAAGTGGAATAATGGAGGTTTTCGGATGAAAGGGATTGAATAACCTCTGATTATTTGAAGAATAGAATTGGGCGCCCCTTCCTTTTGCCACTGGTTTGCATAATACTTTAAGCGACCTGCTCTGAACTGATCTTTGTCAGCGCTTCTTGCAACGAACGGGGGTGGAGTGTGGGTTCGATGATCCTGCTGAAACGGAATAACTGCGTTTTCTGGTTCCTTTCTTATATCGGTTCTTCTCAGCATCTTTCGTGTATGACCTCGGCTGGCTTGATCCTGCCATTGTAGACTGTGGCATCTTTCGCGTGGCCAAATGCGAACGAAAGGAGCTTGCATCTCTGTTTTGAGATTCAAATCTTGGCCTCGAGGCCCGAAAAAACTGCCCAAATTGTTTTATCAGGTCGGTAAATGCTTCTTCCTCGAACAGATGAGTCTTCGAGGGCGGAATTGCATCCATAAGCGCCCCTACATGTGTATTGAGCGGCCGCAGTGCCTTTCTTCTCTTTTCAATTACTTCTGCGCGCTTACCGCACACATATTGCACCAAAGCATCTGATGTGACCTTAAAGTCGCCATCAGGATCCCAGAACTCTTCCCGGATATCCTTCCCCAGTTCCGGATACTTTGCCGCTAAGGCCTTTACTGAATGCGAAAAGGCTTCTCGTTGTAAAAGTAAGCCATGCAAAATAGTGCCTAAAGTAGCATCCATAGATGCTAACATATCAGGCGTTCCTTTATTTCTGGAAAGTTGCGGGTTGACTTTTAAGGCGCTAAAAACAGGCGAGGCCTGCAGTTTCTTCTGTGCATCAACATAACGGATTTTATTGAAAGAAGCCTGCCCTAGCCGCAAGCAGTTCACCCCCTGGGCTTCAATATGTGCGTCCGCTTTAGGGACTAGAGGCTCTTGCTCCTTGGTTACCGGAACAAAACTGAAGTCCAAGTGATCTATGGGACTTTCTAGTATATCCGTCTCGTTTGGTGCACTGAAGCCTAGGTCTAAAGATGGAGCAATATTTTCTTGATCATCCAAATCCGATTCCTCATCTGAATACCTAACATCTTGGATAGACGTGCCTTGGTCGGAACGTTGTTCGATCTTCTCCAAAACATTCTGAACTAATATCTTTAGTTCCTCCTGGCTCCTTTCCAATTTATCCATTCGACTCATCTTTCTTGGCCTCGGATCAGAAGCACCCGTTGATGAACTCTCGCCCTCCGAAGAATCTGCTGCCAATCTCCGAGCCGCTTCTTTTCTTGAGATGAACAATGGCCGAAGTGAGTCCAGAGAGCTCATTACTAGCTCGTGATGAACTGCAGATCCCCTTATTCGACACGCCAAGGCTGGAGGACCAATAACCAGACCGACACAAAAAGGCCAATTCAGCATCCGGACCTTCATTTCCCGAATGTTTTCTCCGATAGGTTCTTACAATCCGGGATAAATGCTTGTGCTAGTCCGACCGTTGGAAGGGCAAATCTCAACTTATTGATCAGCTGAGGATCCATTGGATCCTCAAATAGAGATGTTCTTTCTGTAATGGCCACCTTCCAGTTCTTCCAACCATCCGGAAGGTGTTGCGATGCCAGTAGTTTAATGCGGTTGAGGATCCGCGAGTCTCCATGATCTTCTGGCGACGGATCCGCTAACTGGCCCAGAGTCATAGAGTGATAGCTAATAACTTGATCAGTCGGCCCAAAAATGAGCCGACGGCTCGACGAAACAATCCGACGGCCTGTTAAGTGACCCGACCGCTCAGAATCGGGCCGACGTCTCCGTAATTCCAGTCGTCGGGTCCACGAATCCAGCCGACGACTGATTCAAGCTAGTTGAGCCGACGGCTCGAAAGTCGAGGCCGACGGTTACGTATAACGAGCCGAAACTGCTGATATAGCAAGAAGGAACTACAAGGAGGTACATAGCTGCTTGGTGCGAACTACCCTCGGTAATGTAAGTGATTGACCGGGGGTGCAAGTCACTTCACAACAATAAAATTGATGTTTCTGAATCATAAAGGATGTCTGAAGTAATGAACTCAAACAACATGTCGGTCTGCTAGGTAAATAACAAAACAACTTCACATGCCGTTTAGGCATTAATGATTTCGAGTAGAGGGAATGAAATCAAAACAAAGGGGACTTACCATCATACCATAATGCACTGTAATCACTCTCGCGAAGAATATGTACAGAATAGGAGCATACACTAGCGCGGAATAAAGCGTACTAAGGATCCTCCTGCATCGCGGCATTCGTGGCGTTACAACGGAAGGGAAACGCTGGGACGCGACTGCGCAGAAGGGCTAGCCGACGTAGAATAGGAGTAGAGGGAGGGGCACAGGGGCATACATTAGGGTAGGGAATGGGGACGTAATCTCACCAGGGTCAAGCCGACGGCACAGACCCTGAAATAAGCTATTTAAAAACAAAATGTGTCAGGGGTGTTAGCAATACATTGCGTCATCCATCGACAACATTTAGTTGCTAAAAATTTTAGTGTTAGGTTGCATGAATCACTTCATTTAGTCATTTATGCAGTAAACCGAATCCGAAGCATCGCGTTGAATACGCGGTTATTTGCGCAGTTGTGTGAAGAAAATGACGAACACTTTCATCAATTACTCCTTCACACTGAAGTACGCTGGCTGTTGAAAGGCTTATGTTTGACAAGATTTTTTGCACTTTTTAAGACTATTTTAGAATTTCTGGATACTAAAGATAAAATTTTAAGAGAAAATTTAACGATGAGGAAAACAGACATCGCCTATTTAACAGATTTGTTTACAAAATTTAATATGGTTAATTTGCAATTACAAGGCGACAGTTTAAATTTGATTAAAACAAAGTCCATCTTATCAGCGTTTCTTGCCAGAGTTAAACTAATGAAGCAAAATATTGGACAGGGCGAATTTTCTCAGTTCCCCAATTTGTCACAGACAAGCTGCCAGGAAGACGACGTTTCAACTTACGTTCAACATTTAAATGCCCTCTATTCAGATTTTGAATCTAGGTTTGAGGATATTTTGACTATGGTAATACCACCGTGGATAATTAATCCATATGGTGATATAGAAGAAACGAATGTCATAATACAAGAGGAACTGACTGAACTAAGTACAAACGAAGAACTTAAGGTTCGGTTTAAAAACGGATATCAGCAATTCTGGCTGCAAAACAACGTACCCGTTACTTATCCCGTGTTATGGAATATAGCGAGGACATTTTTAATTTCCTTTCCATCGTCATACCTAGTGGAAAGGGGGTTCAGCGCTGTTACCAATCTCCTAACGAGAAAAAGAAACAGACTGGACATCATTAGCCAAGGAGATTTAAGATTAACCCTTACAAAATTGACGCCAAATGTTGATAATTTATTATTAAAGCATCAGATCAGGTTCATCCTTCTCACTACAAATATTGACTTATTGCTTGTGTTATTTTATTTATAGTTTATTTTATGTTTATTGGTGTCTGACCAATAAATGCCCGCATTGGGAATAAGTGCCCGCATTGATTTTAGAAAATATATTTTTTTCAATTATTCTGAAAATTCTAGGATAGGTACACACTAAAATTCGTTAATTTTTTGCCTATTTTTAGATAACTTAAACGTATAAGAAGCGGAATTTAATCAAACTAACAGTGAAATTATTTTAGAACATACGTTTATGTTATAATTAATAAACGAACTCGCTTATTGTACTATTTTAAGTAAAAAACTTTTTTTTATTATTTTTCACTTTTTTTTCATTTTATCCCTCTTATTTTTTTTTTCAATGCGGGCACTTATTGGTCAGACACCTGTTTATTTAATGTTACGTATATTTTACATAACAGATACAAAATTTTATTTTGAGTAATTTTAATTTAAATTCAATTAATAAATGTATAAATTAACATGTGTTTTTACTTTAAGTTTTTAACGCTAAACTTCACTACAGTTAGAGATTTACAGGAAATCAATATCAGGTAAGTAGGGGGTCTACCCAACACGGAAAAACATGGCAAGGGGTCTACGACACAAAAAAGTTTGGGGAACTCTGCTCTTATTGAACCGGCAATCGATCGCAAACGGTAACAGTGGTTAGTTATCCTTTTTGCATAGTTTTGCGGCGTTGTCAGACTTATTTTACTTTAAAGTCACTTTTCTCTAAAAAAATGCCGTTTTGACCCCCATGTTATATGAAACTTTTTGCTTCTTTTAACCCCCTCTATCACTCATTTAAATAATCTCATAACGTTTACACCCTGTATAATTATTTAACAAATTGTATAAAACAATAATCTTTACCAGCTTTTCGACAAAAAGGAAAAACATGGTTACTTCAATGACTTGACTAAACAGTTATGCTTTTTTACTTTCCTAACCGTTTTAGATTTTCTACTTTCTGACGTACTTTGCTTTGGAAAGTATGCTGGTTTTCGCTGTATTATAGTAATTTATTATTAAAAATTGCGAGTAATATGTCATTATTATTAACATCTGTGACTTTTATGGTTAAACGTTAGATTATAGCAAATGCTAAATATCGACATTTAAGTCTTACCTTAGCTGCATTACCAGCTTATTATTTTTTTTTTATTTTCATGCTCATAGTTCTCACGTATGGTGGTGTACTATCTTTGAGGAGGAGTTCACCCCAACCAAGGATAGTTTTTACAGAGACAGTGCCTTTCTGACAATATGACACGTTTGTAAGATAACGGCTTTTTGGAATAGTATGTGAAGGCCGTTTGGAAGGTCCAAGGTCTTTAAGCTTGAGGAGACTTGTTTGGTAACAACCCCTTCCACAGAGATAACAATGGGAACAATCTGCACTTCCCTTAGCTTCCAAATCCTCTTCATTTCAATCGCCAGGTTCTGGTATTTAACAGATTTTTCACGCTCTACCTTGAGGATGTTGTGTGTAAGCGGAATCCAACCTTAATTATCTGTGCATATTGGTTGCTTTTGTCTATCAGGACAATATCGGGACGCTTAAAGTCTACAGTTTTGTCGGTTAGAAATGGCCGACCCCAATCGAGTATTACATCTTTTGATTCCAGAACTGGCTCAGGCGTGTACTTGTAATATGGCGGAGGCGATTGTACCAAGTTAAGCTTACGAGCTAGCTGTGAATGGATTATTTTTGCAACCTGGTTGTGTCTTCCCCAATAATCGCCAGCTGCCAACGCAGGGCAAGCTCCAGTAATATGTTCGATGGTTTCGCCCGCCTGGTTGCACTTCCTACATTCATCTGGGACGTTGTATTTGAGAATATGTTTTTCATAGTTTTTTTGTTTTTATTACTTTGTCCTGGATGGCAGTTATGAACCCTTCCGTTGTTGGATGGAGATATCCCTTTCTCAAATAGGTGAATGACAAAGCTTTATCTATGTTGTCAGCTCTCAGTTGGCATGGGTAACGGCCATGAAGAATTTTCTCCTCCCAGCATTCTCTCCTCCTAGTATTCGATTCCGAGGTCGTATTGGCTTGAGGTTGCCGACAGCTCAAAGGGGTAAATGAGTCATCTGCCTCCACTACAGCAGCTATCTTAGGACTTAGATGGTTATTCAAGTAATTTTGTAATTTGGCTACCTGAGACTTGCAGAGTTGTGTTATGTTGAGCAATCCGCGGCCCCCTTGTGCGCGAGGAAGGTACAGCCGTTCGGTTGATGCCTTTGGGTGGTGACAATGGAACTTTGTGAGCTTTACACGAGTGATTCTGTCTAGCTCTTCAAGGTCTGTATTACTCCATTTCACAATACCGAACGAATATGTAAGTGAACTTATTGCCCAACTGTTGATTGCTTTGAAAAGATTCTGCGAGTTTAATTTGGTGTTGAGTAGTTTTGTAAGCCGATGGATGTACTTTTCTCTATAGATTGACTTCATGGTAGAATGACACACACCCCACCCCTACTTTGGTGCATCCCCCGGTACTTATACGGTTGGTCTTCTGCTAGAGGCGCGATCTTTTCTAAATTTTCTTCCAAAAGAGTTAGGTTACCTTTCCTTATAGTGACAGTGGCTCACTTATCTAACCCAAATTGCATTCCTATATCATTGCTGAATATACTTGTCGTTGTCACTAGAGAAGCAAGATGTTGCCTTGACTCGGCGTATAGCTTGAGGTCATCCATATATAGCAGATGGTTGAATCTGGTAGGCTCACTCACATCGAGCCTATACCCGAACTTGAAATTATTCAGCAGTGATGATAGTAGGTTCAGGGCTAGACAGAACCACATCGGTCTGAGAGAATCACCCTGGAATATGCCTCTACGTATGCGCACGTCTCCTATGTCCTCCGAATTAACTCTTAAAGAGGTTCCCCAGTTCATCATCAGATGGGACAATAGGTTTATGATGCGGATGTCTACTGTATATATATCCAGCACCTTTAAAAGCCAATTATCGGAATCAAACGCCTTAGAGTAGTCGATGTAGCAGACATGGAGATTTCTCTTATTTTTACACGCATGCTTCATAATAACGGAATCAATTATAAGTTGATCTTTGCATCAGAAAGAACCACGGACACACCCCTTCTGTTCTGTAGCAATGATATTGTTGCTTTCACAGTGAGTATATATTTGGTCATTCAAAAGTGCTGTTAGTAGTTTATAAAACACAGAGAGACATGTAATTGGTCTATAGTTTTTCGGATCCTCAGGATTGCCGTTTTTAAATATAAGATGTGTAATTCCTTTCGTCAAGAAGTTAGGTAATATCTCCGGGTTGGTGATTGCTTTAGAAAGTGATCGAGCCAATGCAGCATGTGTACTTAGGAACTTCTTGAGCCAAAAGTTCTGAATATTGTCGGGTCCCGGCGCTTTCCAATCAGCAGCATCTTTTAGCACTCTACTTACGTCATCTTGAGAGAATATTGCAACGCTCATTGGGTTTACCTATGCTGCCTTCACTACTTCTTTGATCCAAGCCGCATTAAGGTCTGATGGCTTTGGCTCGGACCAAATATCACTCCAAAATTTATTATTATTATTATTATTACTATTATTATTAATTCGCAAGTGCACATACGGGTTTTCTTTCGAAGGCCCTATGCTTTTTTTTGTGTCCGCCTCACGTGGAATGATCCTTCCATGGCTTTCATGCTGATGGAACTGAACGATTTCCTGGCCAAATAAAGCCACATATTCACATTATTTTTTGTTAAGTTTTGCCACCACGGTGTATACAGGGTGATTGGAAATTCGACCTATTCCCTGAAAGTGGTGATGCTAGAGGTGATTTGTGATAAATTAATCCCCATCAACTGGGGGGTCGGAAATGAGCGGTTTTCGAGATATCGGCATTGCAAGATTTTTTAAAAATTTTCTGCTTACTGATCAATACATTTTTTTAAATCTACTCATTTCTTCTCTGTAAGTTTTCGGGTATGCCCGACGGAGTCTCCAATGAGGTTCGTGATGCGTCATGACCGACAGTTTTGTCGCTTAGTACCAACTATCTTTGGAATTCAGACGTACTGTATCGTGTTGTGATCTTACTAAACATTTCTGCAAATTGTCTGAATGTGTAATCTCTGCTTACGTAAATGAAAATTACGCCGACATTATGTATTGTTACGGGCTTTGTAATGGTGACTCTGCTGCAGCACAAAGGGATTACCAAAGCCGTTTCCCTAACCGGAGTTTACCTGATATAAAAGCGTGTTTGATACTACTTTTTACTTACTATATTCGAGAATCTGGCTCGGTTCATCGACGACAAATAGACGCTGGCTACAAATAAAGACGAAATTTTAGAGTGTTTTCGAGCAGACCCATTGTGTCAACTAGACAAATGGCACGGCAACTTGGCATATCCCAATCAAAATCCTGGCTTATTGCTCATACAGCGCAACTTTATCAGTACCATTACACTCCAGTGCACGCTATGGAGGAGGGCGACCCTGCACGAATGATTGACTTTTGTAGATTCTTAATTCATTCCGATATTGAAAACCCAGACTACCTCAAAAATATCTTTTGGAATGAAGAATCGAAATTCGATCGTGATGGTATTACAAATTACCAAAATGCCCACTATTGGGCCCCTGAGCGTCAAAATCCAAAACAATTCAAGGAAGGCAAGCGCCAGAGAAGATTTTCGTTAAACGTTTAGATGAGAATTATACATAATAAATTG